AGTAAACTGAAAGACTAAAATATGTGATACAAATAATTTTCTCCTGCATACAACCCAGAATGTTTTTATGCTAAAACTGGGATATATCAACCAATACCTGCTGCAATGCTGAAATATACAACAATTGGGATTTCAATTTTTTAAGACTAAAGGTTTTAATCATGTCAAAGTTTTAAAGTAAGAACTAAAGCTCCACAAAATGCTTTACAATACATGATCAATGTGTTCCATTAGAACTGCAAGTATTATTTGCTCAGGTATCCCACTCTGCTTCCACACCTTCAGAACAACCTACTCCTATCTTCTATTTCATTCCATCTTCCATACAGTTTTTGAGAGCTACCTAGGTGCAATTTACAAACGCTAAAGAAAACAGAGAGGAGCTTGTTTTGATAACCTTCCATATCTAAAACTGATGAAATGTGACACAAAATCCTAAACTTTGGTGTGAGTACAACATGCTTAAATTCAAAAAGCTACATGTTGATATATTTCTAATTTTACAAGCACATGCATTTCATCTGAAAAGCAGAACAGCAGCCAAGCAGATGAATTAATGTTATTATTTGAACCTTATCTGCATTTCCTCTCTTAAAACATGTCAGTGTTGCAAATTTCATCTTTAGGTGATGCAGGAAATGAAACCGAAACACATCTTTATGTGTTAACAGGGGTAATTTTTTTCTTTTTATTAACTTGTCAGTTGACTATAGGAATCTATGAAAACATTCCTTTGGACAGGAAGCATTTAATTATGGTCCCATAAACTTCATAAATAAAAGCAGGAGCAGCGCAAACAGCAGCAGTTCCTGCAAGACTGAAAGGCTCAACCCTAAGCCTGTAAAGGTCCCACTGGCCTCAGAGGACAGCTCTCCACTTTCTGAACTGTCAAAGGAGAACAGAAGAAACAAGGCCTCATTTCCAAAACAACAAAACTGAAGTACAGTTTAGAAACAGATTCCTATGGTTATAGTCAATCTCTTCAGCCTACAATTGAAAAACGTGCTCATTTGAAGATGAAGAAAGTAATGCAAACTTGATTAAAGAGGGGCGGGGAGAATCTCACCTTAGGAAATAAACCCAAAGAATCCCCTTATCTGTTCTACCTGGACCAACATGGCTCAAGCCATTTACTTTGTATTTCCAAAGCTGAACAACTCCTTATTTTGAGTACAGAATCAAAAAAAAAAAAAAAAAAAAAACAAAGAAACTAAACACTCGATAGGAAATAAACCCAAAGAATCCCCTTATCTGTTCTACCTGGACCAACATGGCTCAAGCCATTTACTTTGTATTTCCAAAGCTGAACAACTCCTTATTTTGAGTACAGAATCAAAAAAAAAAAAAAAAAAAGTAACTAAGTAACTGAACACTCGATTAATGATATGTTGTTAACAAGAGAAGTCTACAAAGACATTAAAAGGTCATGAAAACTTGCTGAACTCACTACTTCCTCCTGACGTGCACAGCTTACCTATATAACAGTATTTTTCCAAAAGGGGGTAGGGGGGTGAGCTCCTTGCACTTGCAGAGTCTTAAGGCAAGAGAGGTATTTGACCTTACCTCATGCATTCCGAGACAAATTAAAACATGTATTAGCCATCTTTAAGATGACATAACTCTTGTTTGAAAGCATGAATTCCCACCTCTGTGATTCAATGCAATTTAGAACCGCCAAAAGCAAGCATTTCTCTCTCCTCCCATTCTAACAACATCCCAAGAAAATGCAAACGGAGGGGGAGGAGCTAAATGCTTTTTGCAGCTTAAGCCATAGACATTCCTATCACGCAGGTAATAAATAAACTATTGTAACTATGACACTTTCTTTTAACAATACTACTGTTTAGGTTAGTTCCCCCCAGGAGCTTTGGAACTCCCTTTGGCTGAAAAAGTTGGGAAGGAATCAAGCTTTTCTTAGTAAAATCCTCAGTTTCAAAAGTCTTATGGTTCTGTCTTCTACTACAACCTCCAGACAGTTAAGTTAGAATGTCTATACCCTCCTGTTTCCTTCCCCAACACCTCGCTCAGGAAGGGATCCAGAAACACTTGTCTTCCAAACTACTAACATCTGCCTCATCTCCTTTCCTACAAGCCAACAGGCTTCAGAAAAGCAGAATTCCACAATCCCCGCCCCCCTCTCCCAACACATTATTTTTCTTTTTCCCCAGGGGAGATCCCAGCCATCACCAGGCCCCTCGGAAACCCCTGTTCCCGATTACCCACCCCTCCGCGGAGAACACGCCACAGCGCTCGCAGCCTCCCCGCCTTGCGCCGAACCCCAAACACAAGGCCGCTCTCCTCCCAGCTGCCCAAACAACGGCGCAAACCCTCTCGCACAGCTTTACTACGGCGGGATCTTCCTCCCTCCCGGCCACCGGGTTCCTCCTCCTCCTCTCAAGGCTCAACGAGCTTCCCGCGCAACGGCCCGGGCCTGGCCTAGCCCGCCCCGCGGCCGCCATGCAGGAGCCCCGCAGCCTCGGGGCCCGCACCAAAGGCCCGGCCCGCACCCCCCAACCGTCAGGACCTCCATCCTTTCCCCTCGCCCCCGCTGCTGTCCCCGGGCCGGCAGAAGCTGTAGCACCCGCGGCCCGTATCGCTACGGCCGAACCCCGGCCCTGCGAGAGGGATGGGAAGGAGGGAGGGAGAGAGGGAGGGGAGAGGCGGCTCCGCGCTTCACTCACGCTCTCATGGTCCCACCGCACGTTGCTGCGCTTCTCATCCGGGGCCAGGTTTCTGTCCCGGCCCATAAGCTCATCTAGGAGCTGGGCGGCCGATATCATCTTGTCCTCCTGGCCGAATCCCCCCTCGCCAAGCACCGGCTCCGCCGCCGCCTCTCCTCCCCAACAGACCGCGCCACCGCCGACAGTGACAGAGACAAAATGGCGGCGCGGCTCCTCGCCCTGCCCACAATGCACCGCGCGCCGCCTCACCGCCTCAGGGGCCCGGTGGAGCGCGAGCCGGACCCGCCGGCGGCCGCCGCCATCCTCGTCCCCCGCCCGCTGCCCCCGGCTCCAGATGGCGGCGGTGGCGGGTGAGGGGGAGACCGGGCAGAGGGCCGGGCCCCTTCCCGCCGCCCGGCCTGTGCGGGGTCGCTGAGGGCTGGAGCATGTCCAGAGAAGGGCAAGGAAGATGGTGAGGGGTCTGGAGCACGAGCCTTGTGAGGAGCCGCTGAGGGAGCCCCAGGGGTCGTTCTGCCTGGAGAAGAGGAGGCTGAGGGGAGACCTTCTCGCTCTCTACAACTGCCTCAAAGGAGGTGTAGCAAGCTAGGGCCGGTCTCCTCTCCCGGTAGGAGAGGAGATGGCCTTAAGTTGCACCACAGAAGGTTTAGATGAGAAATTAGGAAAAAATTCTTCACAGAGAAGGTTGTCAAGCATTGGAACAGGCTGCCCAGGGAAGTGGTTGAGTGGCCATCCCTGGAGGGATTTAAAGGACGGGTAGGCGTGATGCTGAGGGACATGATCTGGTGGTCACATGGCCGTGCTGGGGCAATGGTTGCACTTGATGACGTTAAGAGACTTCTCCAACCAAAACGATTCCATGAGGGACCTGATGGGTGAGGAGGCACCGCCATGGGGAGATGATGCCACAGAGGAACCCCCTGGGTGCGTGGCTGGGTGTGAAGGAGACCAAGTGCGGTGCAGGCTGATGTCTGGCCCCATGGGGTGCGATGGAGCTGAGACATGGCCCGGGCACACAGTGCGGTGGCAGGAGCCATCCTAGGGAGGTTAGCTCATGGCTGGCAGCAGAGGACACAGACCTGGGTGGCCGATTGAGGGTTGTCACAGTCCCTTCTGCTCCCTGGCAGGGTGAAGGGCACCGACACCACCCCTGACGCAGTTACTGACCTCCCGAGTGGGTGTTCCCTTAACAATTCCCTTATACATTGGGGGGAAAAAGCCCCTCAGATCTAAGCTAAATCTTACTGTTTCATCTTGGAACCAGTTTCTGCTCATTTTGTGGGTTTTTTTTTCCCCTTCTAGATGTGGCTTTGTACCTCATCTTTACTGAGCTTCACATACTAATTTCCAACTATTTCCCACTTTCTTAAAATCAGTTTGCTCGTCCCATGTGCATGAAATCACTCTAATTACATTTTTTAATTAAATGATATCTTTTTGAAGAGCTTGAAGTGCTGATCCTGTGAGCCCCAGGGCAGGACTGGTGGCAGCCAGGGAGGGCTTCACGCCGACACCAGTGTTGCCTCCATTGAGAGCTCCCTCCATGACGCCGCCATTGCCCAGCGCCGTCGGGCACCATGACCTTCTTGTCCAGCTTTGCAATTTCAGGGTGATTTAACCACTCACTGGAACATTTGGAAGAGTGTAATTGAAACCGACGCAACCCAACTTGTGTGAATTTTTGGTCTTGACATCCCGCAGCCTGGGTTTTGGGGTAAGATGGGAGGGGGGGTGTTTGCTTTGGGAAAGGGGGGGCGGAACTGGTCCCTCTTCCAGTTGCTTTATGTTGCTCCAGTTGCAGTGAGAAGGCAGACTGGTTCGCCGGAGCCTCACCACTGCGGACCCCGGCGTGGGCACACAGAGCAGACTAGAACAGAAATGACTAGGAGTTTTAAATTATTATTTTGACTTTTTACAGTTGGGAAATTTCCACCAGCTCTTCCCTCTCCCGTAACTTGGACACGATGACCAAACCCAGCATTTCAAAGCAAATAATGCAAATTACAGGAGTTACCTGTAATCTTTCCACTTGATTTGCGGGCAGATGTCAATTTTTTTGTATTTTGTATTTTTATTTCCATTTTTCAAGGACTAACTGATTTCACAGAGAACGCTTAAAGATGATGAGAACGTCCTCCACAGGACCACCGGCGGGGCAGGAACGCCCACCCGGGCGGGAGAGGCGGTGGGTTATGCCGTTATCCGTGTATGAGGACCCCCCGGTACCCGCCGGGCCCCGCTGAGTGCCCGGGCGCAGCCGCCGCCGGAACCCGATGCCGGGGCCCGGGTTGTCCCCGGTAATAGAGTCCCCCGGCGGAGCGCGGACCGGAGCCCTGCGGGGGTGACACCGGTCGCCCCGCTCTCCCCACCGGCCGCTGTGCGGGGTGTGTGCGGGCCATGAGGGCCGGCCCCGGGCTGGAGGCGGCCGGGGGCGAGATGGCGGCTGCGGGCGGCGAGCGGGAGCGGCAGGAGCGGCTGCGGGAGGCGGCGGCGGTGGGGGACGCGGAGGAGGTGCGGAGGCTGGTGGAGCTGGGGGTCAGCCTCAACTCCCAGAACGAAGTCAACGGCTGGTAAGGCTCCCTCCCCGCCAGCCGGGGCGAGCTGGGGTCGGGGGGGGATCCCTCCTCAGGGTGGGCAGAGCTGGCGCTGCCCTGGGTTCGCTCCTTCACGTGAAATACCAATCAGCTTGAATTTAGAATGAAATTAAAAGCGTCGGTATGCTGCCAAGTACTCCTCTGTGTAGATCATAGAGTGGTTTGGGTTGGAAGGGACCCTAAAGACCATCCAGTCCCCCCCCCTGCCCTGGGCAGGGACACCTCCCACCAGAGCAGGTTGCCCAAAGCCCCATCCAGCCTGGCCTTGGACCCCTCCAGGGATGGGGCAGCCACACAGATAGATGGATATCTCTGTTCCAAAGAAGAGAAAAAAGAAAGTGATGCAGCTGATAACCGCGGTTACAAACACACATCCTCTTCCCACCTCCTGCTTGGACCCTGTGCTGTTTGCTGCTTCTCCAGGTCACTTTGTTGTTACTTTATATTTGGTTTATTTTTTCCATCACAGTGTGCTGGCAGCTTGAGACAGCACAGGGCAGTCAACACGCAAACCTCGGCTTGCCAACACGTGCTCGTGTATAACCAGAAATATTTTCTATTAACTCCTAAATCAGGTTTGAAAATGACTTTCCCTTTCAAGCAGGGAACTTGCGGGCTGTTTCAGTTATATATATATATATACACATACACACACATGCAGTTTGGTTTTGACATCTCTTCAGATGCCACGTGATGACACTAAACCTGAAACTTTTCTGTAAGACACTTGTACGAGTGGGACTCTATACATGAACACACGCACACAAAATGTTAGTTGAAGCAGGATGGGGAATGCTCAGGCATTTTTGGAAGCTGTTTTCCATAAGTGCAGTTCAGCCTGTATTTACTGTCCTGTATTGTGCCTGAAGTTGTAATTAAAAACAGGAAGAATAAAAGTAGGAAAAGAGCTAGACTTTTAAAGATAGAGTGCTCGATCGATGAAAGCTCAATCAACAGTTTTGAGAAGCGTGGGACACTTGCAACTGGGGGTTCAAATCATGGTGATTAAATTAGGACTTGTAAAAATTGAAGATAACTGATTCATAAGAGGTTGAATTACCTTAGTGTGTAAGATAAATAGCTGCTTGTCATCGAAATGAGTTTGTATCTAAAAGCGGAATTGATGAAGGATAATGTCAAAAAATATAACTTTAAAAATAATGATCTGGTCTTTTTTAACAAAGGCAATAAATGGATCTTCACTGTTACTTAAGTTTGTTTGGAGAACTTAAAATTCCTCCAGTGAGTTTCTCAGTGTCTCTGCTGCTGGAGCTGCCGAGTACTTACACCGTGATGTGTCAGGTCCATGGGTAGATGGTGTGTCTCCATGTGAGACCACGTGGAAGGGTGGGGATGAACCCCTGGATGAAGCTGGTGCCATTGAGCCGTACGGACCTTCAGCACAAACCAAACCTGCAGGTTTTGCACTCAAAGCAAACACGGCCACACTGCGCTTTTCCCCACCACGTGGGTCCAAACTAGTTTATGACTTGGTAAAGCGCTACTTCTGGATCCATGCAGGCCATTCACACTCATTTCACAAGCAGATACTTGTGAAAACTCCAGAAAACACTGCACACTAAAGAAACCCGGTCTGAGTTTCATGGAGCTTGTCTCAGATTCTGGGGGGTCTTTGGTGTTAAAAATTCAGGAATACTTTCTGCTGACAAAATTAGTCTCTCCCATTTCAAAATGGCACTTTCTGGCTGGAATGCACAGCCCAACCTTGGGGAGAGAATACAGGGTTTTACAATATTGCTCAGTAGCTTTTAGGCTGTTTCTTTACTGTGCCTCTCTAGGTCAGCAACTACAAATAATAATTGAAAAAATAGAAAAGTGATTAGTTCTGTGCATCGGTTACAGATTGCAGAAAACCAGTTGTCTGCAGATGAAAGCTTGGGAACTGCTGGTGCAGCAAATAGCAGCTGGGCAAAGAACTGTGCTTAGAAACTATGCTTACAGTATTTTAAACATTATTACTTTCCAAAAAAGTGCTAGTCATTGCGCTGACAGCATTAATTAAAAGTAAAAATAGCATCCTATGGGAAGTATCCCTATTAGTTCACATCTACACACACAAGTATTTTAAGTACAACTTACTCTTTCAAAGATTAAAATAGCATATGCAAGCCTTCTTTTTATATTTCTTTTTCCGGAAGATTAGTACCCTAATAAATAACAAAATGAAAAGATCTTGAACTTTAAAAATACTCCTGTGGTAACGTGGTATCAAGAGCATTTAAGCAAGGGAAAAGTACATCAGCAGGTGTCACTGCAGGCTCCGAAACCAGCGTGAATAACCAAGGAAGATTGCAATTAAAACCTTTTTTATGCTAAGACATGCATTAGGTCTTGTTCTTCTCGCAGGCACCAAGAATGACCTGCAGTAATTTAGGATTTCCAACCATGTCACTGTTTTTCCATGTGCAGGACGTGCTTGCACTGGGCGTGCAAGCGGAACCACGCTGCCGTGGTGGCTTACCTGCTGCACGCCGGCGCCGACAAGGAGATCTGCACCAAGAAGGGAGAGAGGCCGGCCCAGCTAACCTCAAAGAGAGAGATAAGGAAGATGCTGGGAGGTAAATCTACTGGCCATGTGATATGATCATCCGTAGTAAGAGGCAGTCTATGTCTAAATGTATGTTCCGATTATTATTTCGCACGTGAAGTTCCTGTGTTCAGGTTTTAGTAATAACTAGATTGATTTCTAGAGCGCTTACTGGGTAAGAAATCAAAGTTTAAGAAAAGAGGGTCACCAACAAATCCCACATCCAGCCAGCCAAACTTTTTTCTAAACACTGAGAAATTAGATAAACTGTATTTTGAAAAAGGCCATGATTAAACCAGTGACAGAGAGATGCAGCTTCCTGTTTTCAAAAGGGCAACAGGAGAAAATCTCTCAAGCCTGTATGAATCCCTTATAATGAGCAACACTATTTTCCCCGTGTTCTGTAGAGCTTAGACACTGTGTTGAATAAATGGAAAATTAGCAGCCCAGAGAAACGGCTCATTAAAGGACATCAGTAGAGCATTTTTATCATGTTTTGTAACTGTTGGAGCGGAGCAGGCTTTGCTGCTAGAGGTGATAAGTAATTTGAAATGTGGTCGATTAACAACCTCTTCCCTCCCCTTTGTATTCCCTTGTCTGTTTTTGTTTTCATTATTGTCTCCCAGCTGTTGAATTGGTAATGTTTCAGCTCTCCCAGTACTGCATGTTCTTTTCCCTTTATCCCCTGCCTTCATATCGAACAACGTATTACCCTTTGTTTTTCACTGCCTTATACATTATGAAGACGACAGCATTACACCACCAGAGACTGTGTTACAACCTGCTGGCTATGGATTAAAACAAACCAAACCAAACTAAGGGCCTTGCAGTTTTTAGAAGGAAATGGCACCCCCGGAATTACTGGAATCAGCCTCTGCTTTGGTGTTTACTGTATTGCAACACCTGAGCACAGTTCTGTTTACTGTGGAAAAGGGGTATAATGTTTCTTGATTTGTCTTTTAGCCTGTGGGGCTTCGAACACTCCACTCCATCCCTATTGAAAAAAAAATATGAAAAAACAGAAAAAAAGAAGCAGCTCCACAGTGCAATAGCAATACTTCCCCCCCCCCCCAAATCTGTCTTGGACAAATGTTGTTTCCTTTTGTTTGACAGTGGAAGATGATGAGCTCTCAGACTTGACGAAAGATTCCGATCTGCCCATCATCCCCAATTACCTGGCGAACCCACCTTTCCCCTACGTCTATAACACCATGAGTCACAGTCTTCCAGATCCCTCCCCGAACGGGAGCATCTCCCACTCGGAACCGCAAGATACCGACTCCTCTTCCTTACCAGACGTGGAGAGGTGCCCCTGTGCGGCGTCACAGCGTGGCACTGCTGCTCCCGAGGCGGCTGGCAAGGGGGACATGCCATCGCTGCCACCACGCGCGACGCCCATCCATCAGAGAGGTCCCCTGTACCCGGGGTCCATGTCTTGGAGCAGAGGTCCCCCTTCCCCAGCTGGATCAAATCAGCCCCTACCTCAGCAAGAGAATGTGGGGCCTGTGCCGGCATTTCAGCCCGTTTTCTTCACAGGAGCTTTCCCACTTAACATGCAAGGTAACAGTAAACGTCTCTTCTTGCCTTGTCCTAGAACTTCTGGCATCACGGAGAGTGAGAACAGACCGATGGGGTTCCCTCTGTTCCCAGCGCTGCCAGGGATTTGCAGGTTCCTGTGCTCAGGCATTCAGGAAAGATTTGAAAGGAATTAAAGAGGCAGATACCCTGCTTCTGCTGGAACTGTTATTAAAATATTGATGAAAACGTTTGCTATTTGTCTCAAATGCTATAAAAGCGTACAGACACCAGGGTAATCTAATTCTGTAAATAGCACATTCCAAGCTGCAAATACAGACTGGGAGTGTGCAGGCAGCGAGCTCAGGAGGGAACCTCACGCGGCTCCGTCTGCAGACCCCAGCCTTGAGGTGAACTATTACCTGATCTGCCATTTCTGCAGGGAAACAGTGCCTGCCCAGGGAGGGAAAGATGGAATTTCAGTTCAGAATTTCATTCTTGAAACAAAAGGTGTTCTCAGGCCATAGATTAGCCATGAGAAGTTAACTGATGCCCAAAAGAATCAAAAGCAAGTAAGAGCAATCTTGGCTTGCTCAGGAAATTGATAACCAGTATAATCTGCTTTTAAATTAGCTCAAATCCAGTAAGATGGATATTCACGCAAAGGTTCATACATGCACACACAGACATTGTATTAGATTTGTAGTGATTTTTTTCATACAGGCTGATGAAAGCCAATCTAATGAAAATTGTGGTCATACAAGCCCAGTTGTTTGTTTTCTCAGAATTCTTCTATTGTTAGAAATGATACAAAGAAAGTTAATAAAATATAGAAATATTTGTAAGTTAGTATAGAGATATCTTTTCAGATTCCTTTATACATCTGCATATTAATGTACCTTTTTATTTCTAATAGAACTGGTGCTTAAAGTTAGAATACAAAACCCTAATCTTAGAGAAAATGACTTCATTGAGATTGAGCTGGACAGACAAGAATTGACCTATAAGGAACTGCTCCGAGTGAGTTGCCATGAGCTGGGTGTTAACCCTGAGCACGTACAGAAGATCAGAAAATTACCAAACACAATGTTAAGAAAGGTAAGAACTCTTCAATTTTGAAATGCAGTAACTTATACAAAAGATTTTTAGGTTACCATTAAAAAGGAATAATTTGCTGATCACCTGCATAAGCCCATGTTGCAAAAACATCTCAACCAAACCAAAAATCCTCCCTTCAGCTTCCTGCACTCAGCAGTTGTTCGGTTTGTTTGGTTTTTTAGTAAAAAGGTTCGCAAGTTTCTTGATCATTCCCTTTCATAAACATTTGGTGTTGAGCACAATTAATACCTGGATTTCTCTGCTACATTCTTAAATTCAGTGCAATACCACACACCCTGACGTGCCATCGGTGTTTCGAGAGCTGCAGTTCTCAGCTGAGTTTTGCTGTAAGGAGGGGAGGCAGTCCCCTCACAAAGCAGAAAGGTGCTGCAGAATTATTCTGATTGTGGGTCTCTGAATGTCACCGTCTTTTCACTTCGGTGACATTTCTGTGCAGCAGCCAGAAAAGGGACCTGCTGACCTGCTCTGCTGATGCACCGCTGACCTTTCTCTGGCTCCCCGCTCCCTCTGGAGCATTGTTGGCGTCAGTGGCGGAGCTAATCTCATTAGTACCAGATTAATAGATCTCACCGTGCGGCATCTTCACCGGCTGTACAATGACTTACTCTTTGTTAGTCAGGAAGTGGGGAAAAAACCCAACAAACAAGCCATAAGCAGCTCTGTCACTTGCCAGCTTAGGTTGTTGTTGAAAGGACTGGTTTTATTTCCAGCTTTAATTACTTCAGGCTCTCGGGTAGGACTGCAGGACAGTGATTGTTCCTTCAGGTGACACAGAGCTAATTGTGTTTAACGCTGTGTAGCAGCAGAGCTGCTGCTGAGGGGCCCAGGCTCCAGCTGGTGCTGGGAGGGGGTGTCTCCCATCGCTCTCTCAGACCCCACCAAAGCCACACTGAGCTGGAGAAGCCCCTGCAGAACCCTCTCAGGCAGGTGCAAGAATCAATTCAAGAGCTTCTAAGGATTGCCCAGGGGAAACAAACAAACAAAACCAACCAAACAAAAAAAAACCAACAAAAAAAAAAGAGGAGTTGGGGGTGGCATGCAGTAGATCTTGACAAGTGTAATTCCACTAATCACTTGCACTCTCCATCAGTGTTGCATTCCTCCTAAAAATAGACTTAAGTCAGTAGCTGAATAGGATCCCAGAATAATTATAATACAAAACAGGACGTCTGTTTTCCAGTTTACTGTAAAGAGTTGTCATATTTATAGATAAATACATACCTTGTGCCAGGATGAGCCTAGTATTTTAACTTACCTCTGCAAAATCGGGCAGTTTATCACCTAACATCTTATTGTATTTATTTAAAGGACAAAGATGTTGCAAGGCTACAGGATTTCCAAGAACTGGAGCTCGTTCTAACAGTAAGCGACAAAAACTTGCTTTTCAGAGTCCCATCACTTTCTGAACGGAGTGGTTATAACAAGAAGGCATCAGAACTCACATATTAATTGTTGAAAGAATAAAACAAAATATTTGTAACTCTCATTTTAAAATTACATTTGAAATACAGTACTATAAGGGCTAATGATGTGAAAAAAAAAAATCTATTTTGTTAACCTTGAAATAAACTAAAGTTGTTACGCAGAGTTACAGCCTCTAGTTAATCTAAGAGTAATGCGTCTGATCTGAAAGCAGTGTAATGCAAAGGAATTATTGGTAGAAATATCTGTTAATGAAACATTTTTCCTTACAAAAAGATAATCTTGAAATACTGCAGAGTTAGCAGCTCTCAGGGAAAGGCTTACCTTAAACTGTTCTAGTCATTTGTTTGCTATAAAATAGCAGAGGTACTCAAGCTAAAGAACCTGCCATTAAACCCATTTCATATTTGTACCAAGTCCATTCCCATTCACCTTCACTTTTTAGATCTTGTGTTTTAAGTCATATCTTATTTAGAAGAAAAAAAACCAGAAGGGTTTAAATCTGTGTGAGAAGCACAAAACTATGTCTAGTTTAAATACTGTCAAGTGACTTAACTACCTGTGATTTCTTAATCCCTGTTTACAATTTTCCCTATTTCTCAGGTTGAAAATAAAAAGTGGTAGTAGTTGTCCAAATCATAAGTATGCTTTCAGCCAAAATCCCTTGTATTGTTGTCTGTCAATATATAGTATTGACATATGCAATTTGAAATACTATTTTTGTTACTGTATTGACAACACATTTCTCCAATGCTGCTTTAATTTCCCCTTTTAAAAGCACAAAAAATTGTAATTTTGTAATTTTATTTTCCGTTTACCTCGACATTCCTGAGAAAGGTTGCCTCTTGAACCTTTAAAGTTGCCTGTGTAAAAAGAAACTAGTGAGAAGCCCGGGTTTTCTGGGCCAGTATTAAATCTTGATGTTCCTATGCAATGTATTCTTGTTTTTCCCCTGATAACTTGTTTACCCATGTTGTTTACTGAAAGAAAAAAAATTATCACTTTTCTGTTCCTGTTACTTAAAAGTCAGAATTAGACTACTTTGCTATAAAATTCTGGAATAAATAAATTGAAAAGTATTTGAGAGCTGGATTTTATCTATTTTTTTTTTAGAATTTTAGTATTTGCTCAGTCATTTGCATGTGAGGGAGAGCTCTATTCTGGCAGCCCACCTGTAGAAGCGTGTGCTGTGAATTAGAAGGTGGCACTAAAGTGTGAGATGTAACAGGCAAACAGAACATACCAAACGGGACCGAATTTCCCTGTTTTCTTCATCTCCCCTCCCAGTTTCTTGGGAAGCTACAGCAGCCAAAGGGTTTGATCCCCTCGTTGCCTGAGGATTTCCAGCCCGTTGGCTGTGCAGTGTAGGGGGGGCTGCAAAGGGGATCTGTGGCAGCCACGGAGCACCCAGACCAGTGGGGACAACGCTGGGGTGAGAAGACCCTGAGCTCTTGCTGCCCCAGATGCCTCCCCCTGATGGTTGTTGGGTCTCCACCGCAGCCCCATCGCCTTTCTCAGGGCTGTGGGGGGTAGAGAAGTTCACTCTTCCCCCAGAGTCACCAGTATTACAGCTCGTACCCCAGGAATTGTCCCCAAATTCACCCCTGCTCTCTCTTTCTCACCCAGTGACTAGTGCTTTGAGCCAGGGCAGCAGCTCCAGCAGCAGTGACTGAGCACACAAGAGGGAGCCCTCTCCCAGTCTGCCTTCTAGTCGCATCTCCAGTGCTCACCTGGAAGCGCAGATCCCTGCGAACACCCACATTCACTGAATTTCACTGAATTTCATTGAATTTTTAGAGTTGGAAGGGACCATAGAGATCATCTAGTCCAACTCCCCTGCTAAAGCAGGACCACCCAGAGCTTGTCAGAGCATGTTACTCAGGACTGCATCCAGGCGGGTCTTGAAAATCTCCAAAGAAGGGGACTCCACACCCTCCCTGGGCAGCCTGTTCCAGGGCTCCTCTGTGCCAATTAACTAGACCACAGCTCAGGCTCCTCAGGCTGTAGCAGAACGTTTTTGTCACAACAAAACATCACCTTCTGAAAGGTGTTGGAGGTCAAACAGGGTCTGAGCCATTGGGTTTTTTTATACCCAACTGGTGGTGGTGGATTAATTTCTGTATAATGGACTAATAAACCCGTTGCTCCTCGTCTCAGGCTGCCTGTAGCGGCCTCCCCGGCACGGGCTGTCAGACCCCCAGCACAATCCGTGTGGGTACTGGGATTTCCCAGCCTGACCAGCTGTGGGGCTGGTGACCTCCTCCCCACACAGGTGCTGATGGCTATCTATGCATTCCCAGGAGTGTTTTTATACCTTATGCAGTTTATACACAGAAGATGCTATTAACCCTGCTAACAATCTGATCAGCGTGTAACGACTACATTGCTGTGCGCGATAAATAATTCATTGCTTTGTGCTCTGCTATGTGAAACGTTGATGTCAAATGAATGCTTGGCTGCAGGTTCTTGTTTCTATTTAGGAAGTATTTGTAAGAACTAATAAATGATTATTTTTTGTCTTCTCAAAGTTTTTCTGAACTTTACTTACGGAAAAGCAAAGGCACGTTTTCTTGCCGGTTGGGTTTCTAGAGTGCTTGGTGGAGGAAGAGAAGAGCTAAAGCAAAAGATGTTCTATAGGATTCTAGCAGCAAATACTCCCTTTATCTGAGGAGACTTGGTTATCAGTAATAAGGTAGATACTTAGTTCTGCAAAACAAATCACACGTTATTTCAGGTGATTAAGTGCTGAATGAGATAAATCATATCCACATCTGGTCAGCAGGCGCCTTCAGCTTAAGTGGAGACTTACTCACAGTGACTTCATACCTAAGAGAGAGATACGGCAAAATTACAGCACTTCTGTGCCAGTCCTGTCCCTGCAGGCTTATGGGGAGTCTGCTAAATTGATAGCAATGGTGTAGTTAATGATTTATATTAAGCCATCTGTAGGTTTAGTCTTAAATGCACATTACTCAGAATTCTTACACTGAAGAGGAATTTTCTAACGCCAAAGTTGCCCTGGGCAGGGCTACCAGAGGTGCTGGGATGGCTCCCAGCCCTGAAGCCATCGTGTTCTGCCTTGCCCTGTCCCGGGGGAAGCACTGAAAGGAGCTGGTTGGAACCACTCAGAGATTACATGTTATTTCACCATTTTTCACTTGAGTCACCGCTTAACTGGGCCTGTCTTCCCCCTTCAAAACCAATGAATCCTTATGCAGAAAACACACAAAACAGGTGTATGTTGTACCATTAATATAATTTACTAATTATAAACCTGAATACAGTACATACTGCCCTGCCATACATACATTTTCTTGGCAGAATGTTTGGCATTCTTTGGGAAAAAAAGGCATATAATAAAATACTTTTTGTGTATAGAAAATATTTAAAAATATAAAATTCACTTTCTGGTCCTTATAATTGCAAAATACTTTGTTCACATATCACAAGTTTAGTCTACTACAAAAACTGCTCTGTAAATTACAGTACATTCACAAGTCACTGTTGTGGCAAGTCAGTAATATTAAAAAAAACCCCAACAAATCCAACCCAAACCCCCAAGGGGTTGTCTTTTCACACTAGTCCAGCATCTTTGGCCATACTGTAGAAAATACCCTTCGATGCTATAAGGCTTTCGGGCGTATCGAATTCAGCTACGGTTCCGTTGTCTAGAACAAGAACCCTGTGCAAAACAAAAGGAGAGGGGAGGGAAGACACGTCAGAGAATTCCTCGCAAGAAACATGATATCCTTTTTTATCACAAAGCAAACTGCTCTAATCTCCACCTTGCCTTTGTTCCGCTCAATTATTTTCGCAGGTTGAAACACAACAGGTGATAAACATTCTCCCCCAGCTGCTGTTTGATTGTAAAAGGTACAGGACAGTCACTATGTCCCAGGGGTAATAAGGGGAAAATAAAACACAACAAACACTCCCTCTCCCCGCGTGTCATACTGGTAGTTCTGGAATTGAAAATATAGTACCAGGAGGTAAAAGCTCACGAAGTATAGTAATATCAATTGCTTTAAAATATATAACATGATGTTAGTGGAGAATAAGTCTAGAGAACAAGTCTTATGAGGAGAGGCTGAGGGAGCAGGGGTTGTTCAGCCTGGAGAAAAGGAGGCTGAGGGGAGACCTTATTGCTCTCTCCAACTCCCTGAAAGGAGGGTGTAGCCAGGGGGGGTCGGTCTCTTCTCCCAAGTCACAGGTGAAAGCACAAGAGGAAATGGCCTCAAGTTGCACCAGGGGAGGTTCAGATTGGATATTAGGAAAAATTTTTACACGGAAAGGGTTATTAAGCCTTGGAATGGGCTGCCCAGGGCAGTGGTTGAGGCACCATCCCTGGAGGGATTTAAAAGACAGGTTGACATAGTGCTTAGAGATATGGTTTAGTGATGGTTTTTATCAGAGTTAGGTTGATGGTTGGACTAGATGATCTTTAAAGGTCCCTTCCAACCAATTCTATGATTCTATGAAAAAGTTACAGCAGCTGCTAGTTAAAGGAGGATGCCTAAGCCCGTGGGCAGTGCCATCACTGCAGCTGGGCAGTGTCCCTGGCGCAGCTCTGGGCAGCGAGTACAGAACCTGCTCCTGATGCCAACAGAAGCAAGATCAGGTCTGGATATTCTAGGATTATATGGCTTTAAATATCAGTGCTTACATTCTACCTGTCAACAGCATCGGTGTGGCTGTCTGGAGACAAACCAGACCCTTTTCAGTGGGCTTCACACCCCCATAAAACAGGGAGCCCCCCCCCCTTCCCCGGCACCACTAAGGGATTTTTACCTTGTGTAATCCATAATTGTGTTCAGCCTGTGCGCGATGGTCAGCACCGTGCAGTCTTCAAACTGGGTCCTGATGGTCATCTGGATAAGATCATCCGTCTCGAGATCGATCGCTGCCGTCGCCTCGTCCAGGATCAAGACTCGCGTCTTGCGCAGCAGCGCTCTCGCCAGACAGACCAGCTGTCTCTGCCCCACGCTGCCAACAGAGACAGAGCTTTCACCAACGAGGCCCCACCACCCTCAGCTCTCCACCGCCCAGAATCCCCCACGCTGGAGCAGGTTGCTCATCAGCTATGGTTACCCACCAAAAAACCCAGTACGTAGCAAACAGCCCGGTCTGTCAGCCCCACGGTAACACAACTGCAGGGCTACTCAGCTGTTCTAGTGTGTGTGTTCACTCACTGCCCGACCCAGCACCGACAGAGCCACCAAACGCCACCTTTCCATCACTGTGACAAAAGCAATGGACACTACAGTGCTTCTGCCCAAGCCTTCAGGAACACACACAGTTGTTACAACACTGAGCATACGCGAACTTTAAAAAAAAAAAAGAAGAAAAAAAGATGTTCTGAGGCTGTAAGTCCTTTCTACCTGCTATCCGGGCACCCCACACTCCCTGCCCTGCTTCAAACAACCCCAGACACAGCCTCTGCAGGATGAGGAAGGAGCTGAACATTCATCATATACATCATCAGGTGACACCAGTCCCAGGAGCCAATGCAGCGTATCAAAGCATGACGTTTTATCATCCACATTTATGTCTTATGGGTCTTCCAGATAATAAAGCAAAATAAACATTGCTGAAGTGTCAGTTTAGGCAGAGGACTCTGATTCAGCACAGCAGTTATAGCTGTTATCGTGGCATTTCCCTTCCTACCAAACCACAATTAAGGGACCGTCATCCTCAGATTTACTTCTTTACTGATATGACAGGATTTTGGTTTGGGAAAAATCCCTCCCAGCAGCAAAGAAGAATCAGATCATCCGTGGCAGAGGCAAATGTTTGAGCCTTCAGTGGTTTTCTTGAAACAGGAATAGGTGCTAAATCATTTTAGACTCAAGAGTGTAAACCCGTGCTCAGGTGCTACTCGCCTGAAAGCTCAGGGTATGTTTCTAGTCCAAGCGCTCCTTACCTCAGATTTTCTCCACCTTCTGAGCACTCATAGTCCAACATGGATGGCTGACTGCTGACAAACCTCTTCAAATGAGACAGTTCAAGAGCCTTCCATATTTCTTCGTCTGAATATTTATTAAAGGGATCCAGGTTCATCCTCAATGTCCCAGAAAAGAGAACAGG